GATCCACCAGCGTGTTTCCGAATGCTGGCTCACGAAAGGACCCAGTCATCACCCCCTCCGGATGCCGCTTGATCCCGCGCTGCAGCAGCTCCGCGTAGAAGCGCTGCGAGATCAGGTTCTGCCGCATGTTGTAGCGGTGGATGCGGTCCTGGCCCATGGGGATGAGCGTGTCCTCCATCGCACCGAAGGCCCGCAGCGCCGCCCGGTTCATCTCCCGGAACCTCCCCCGCATCCCCTCTGGCAGCGGCACCGCCTTCACCTTCAGCTCCACATCGGGCTGGACGGGGTCGTACCCGATGCTCATCAGCGCGCTCCTGGGCTTATCCTCTTCGACGCTCCCGGCGTCCCCGCAGGACACTTCCAGCAGGCCACGCAGCGGCACCCTCCCCGTCCCTACGTGGATGTCCTTGGAGTTCGGCGGGGCGCCCATCATCGCCAGCTGCTCCGGGGAAGGGCCGGGTGCCACCGCCATCAGCTGCAGGTCCCTGACCTCCGCCTCCGCCAGGTCACCCGACACGACGAACAGCCCCTCGCCCAGCGGCACCGCCGAGTACGAGTTCCGGCAGCCCACCCACGCCATCGCGTGCTCAATGATGTCGTGCTCCACGCCCTTCCTCTCGCACACGATGCGAACCGCCCCGACGAAGGGCATCTTCGCCCCCTTCACGTTCAAGATGTCGTCCTTCACGTCACCCCCTGCCGCACCCGACAACCTCGCACGCACGCGGATCCTGGCCGACATCTTGGGTGCTAGGCAAGCAAGCGATTTATATACATGCATAGAAGGGGTGGTGGAGGCGATGGAGACGAAACATCCTTACTTTATTGGAAAACACTAGCATTCCTCCTCGTAATCCTTCCTCTTCCTCCCCGTCTCGGGCTCCCTTGCCTCCACCTGCGGCACACGGTACGAGAGCATGCCGCTCACGAAGGAGACCACGCCAAGGTTTTGCGGAAGGACACAGCCCGAGGGAGGAGAGGAACGGTACCCACGGGCCCAGGCCAGCGCGCTCCCGCGAAACTCCTTCCAGCTCCCGGCCTCCAGCGCGGCACAGGCACTCCCTCCGCCTCCGCCAGCGCCTCCGCCCTCACCCTCGCTCACCTCGTGCAGCGCTTCGGGCATATACTGCGGATCGGCGATGACCACGCAGCACACCTCCACGGTTGGTGTCACGGGCCGTCACCGCGGGCTCCCGAGCTCATTACACCCGAGTGTTGCATCTTCGTCCTCCTCGCCATCCCATCGTTGCCATCACGTTTAATACACACCCGCACGCTGCTATCC